AGTTTGCTGATCTCATCAGGAAAATAAAATGTTATCACCACATAAAATTGTCCTGACAAGAAACAAAGTCAACATGTAATATCTGAAGCTTCTAGGTTCTCTTGGGCACTTGAATCTTTCTAGCTTTTGGACAAAACTAACCTCACATTGCATGAAAATAAGAATGTTCTTCGTTCCTGGTGTAGCAAACAAGGAATTTAATATTCAAGCAGAATGGAAATGCCTCCTTCTTTCCTTTCTCATCAAGGGAACAGCTGCTTTGCTATCATCACGGGGAGGTGACGAGGGGGTAAACTTCAATAAAAGCAGTGCCACCATAGGCTGCACCCTGAAAAGTTAAAAGTGGTGGTAGAAATAAAGACATACTCTGATGAGAGTCTGCAAAGCTGTCTCAGCTTCATTAAAGCAATATCTTCTAGCTGAAGGTTACTTATCTGCAGCTGTGAGGTGACAAAGGCTGTGGGACACTCCACATAGCTGACTGAGGGACGGCAACTTTCTTAAACTACTACACAAATGTGTTTCTATGTCCCAAACCAGAATACATTAGCACAAATGACAGTCCAGGAAAGAAGAAAGGATTTTAAAAAAAGGAGGTTAACTGCCAAAGACATGTTGGCATACGTAAGAAATTGTGGAGACTTACCTACTGATAGGCCGTTTCTTGAACGATCCCAAATAATTTTCAGAAATACAGCATTTTCAGAAACATTTAATCTCTTTTAAATGGTCCTTATTGGAGAAACAACCTCTAATTCTGTATTAAAATTCTAAAGTTCATAGATACCACCTTTAAGTACCAATTGCCATTCATCATCTGTCCTACCCTGAATTAAAAGTTCTTTATTACCCCTACGCCTTCTAAATCGTAATATTATTTACTGTTTCAATAACTCCTTAAATAAACTCAGCACGATGGAGGTGGTTGGTACATCTCAGGCATGACCAAAAGTAAGATACTTGCGTAAAAAAAAGCATATTAAATATACTGCCAAACTGGATGCCCTTCATAGACATTTCTGTAAAACTCATTCAGCAACCACAATGTATTCCATCTTATTTATAGCTAGGAGTCTAGTTTACTTCAATAAATCTGTATCAATGTAGACACAAAAAAAGAACTTCCTCAGTAGCTGAAAGCTTGTTTCAACAGCAGCACAGTACAAAAACTGGTACGAGAAAGAAAGGTGACATAGTACTCATCCGCATTATGGCACAAAGACAGCTGAGTTAGCTGGAAATAGTGTGGTACTTTCATGCAGCATAAATGCAGCTACCCTCTGCGGCAGAGGCGACTACAGCTGGCTCTGACTTCAGGGCCTCTACACCACAATCACTATCACACAGTGCAAATGCGGGAGATGGTCAATACAAGGGCATGACCCAGCAGGAAGCTAACGCAAAAAACCCTAACCCCACGCCATTCTTGATTGAGAGGGAGCTAAGCATCAAACAAACTTCATACCCAGGGGTTTTTCAATTTTTAACTCTTGGGTT